ACTCCAAGATAGCATTAAGGACCCCAGCTTCAGGACTGGGACAGGCTCGGGCAGGGTGCAGTGGTGCCCGGTTGGGCCCCCTCTCAGCACACCCTGGGGTGGGGGACCCCGCAGCCACCGGGGTGGGGGACCCCACAGCCACCTGGCTGGGCTCTGCAGAGCTGGGGGAGCGTGGAGGGAAGGGACGGGCAGGGTATGGACCCCCCCAGGGCTCCTCACAGTGCCTGGGGTTGGAGGGGGCTGGACAAAGTCCACCCAGACCCCTTGCTTGATGGAGGCAGCACCCACTCCTCTGGTAAGAGAGCAGGGTGGGGAATAGCACAGTGGGGTGTCCAGCAGGTGTGACGCAGAGCTGGGGGTTCAGCCAAGCTGATGCTGATGCTGCCACTTGGATCATGCTCAGGCTTCTGAGGCCCTTTGGGGGTGTGCCTGGGGTCTGCTGCAGCAATCTTATGGTCCGGGATTAGCACAGTGGCTGGAGCCCACTTGTGCCCTCTCTGCTCCCCTGGATGGAGAGGGATGCTCCTGCTCCTGCCTGCATGCTGGGTGACTCATGCCGCTCCGTAGCTCGGCCCAGGGAGGCCTCCACAGTATCCCAGGTATGTGGGGTGCGGTGAGGCTGCCAGCGGGGTGAGCCCCAGGACGAGCTCCCACCCTGTCCTCTCCTGCCTGGCCCTGGACTTTGTACAAAGGAGGGTCTAAGGAGGCGGCTGCAGGCAAAGGTGTCAGTGGGATGGCGGGGAGAGGCGGGCAGGGGGCTGTTAATCAGTAATGCAGTTCTTCCCCTAGACATTGGCTTGGCACTGGGTGAAAGCCAGTGCCCGGCAGGGATTCGGGGGGAGGATGTGAGTGGCCCTTTCTGGGACTCTGTGGAAACCCCTTTTGCTGCAGCACACATGCAGCCCCTCTCCTGCCCAGGGCAGCTGGGCTGATCACAGCGCTGACAAATGTCTCCCCAGTCTCTGAGCTGCTGCAGCAGCGCTGGGGCCGTGTGGGTGCAGGGAAGAGTGACTGTTCAACCAGCTGCAAAAGCACCTGCAAGCTGTAGGCTGATTCAGGCCTGAAGAAAGGCTTGTGAGCCCAAAAGCTGGGTTGCCTTCTCCCACTGCTTTAGCTTGTCTCAAAGTTTCTTCTCAGCCTTTCCTTGAACCTCTGCTGCAGCTGTGGAGGCAGGCAGAAGCTGGGAATGTTACGGGGAAGCCGGAGCTGGGCATGGAGGACGTCCACTGCCAGAACAACCCCTGGGACCCCCAGGGATGTGCTACCCCATGGACTTGAGGTGTGCGCATTTGGGCAGCCCTGTGAGCGCAGCGTCACCCCAAATGTGTGTGCTGCTGGCTGCAGCACAAACATGGCTGTGTCCTTCTGTTCCTGGGGCTGGGCTGCGCATGGTCCCCTCTCCTCGTTCTTGCGGGTGAGGAAAGGCAGGGGGTGTGAAAGCGTTTGTGTTGCCAAAAGAATTAACACCCTGCTGTTGTGCCCTATAAATCTCTCAAGTGTTAGAGGCTGGCTTTATCCCCCCGTGTTACAGTTTAATGGTTTCCGTTAGCAATAACCTGGCCCTGTGTTCTGGGGTTATTGATTTAAGGTCTGTTGCGGGGGGTGTGAGAGTTGCAGAAAGGTGTTTTCCTGCCGCCCAGCCGGCGGCAAAGGCGCCATTGCAAAGAGGAGGCAGGAGAGCGGGAAGCGGTGCACAGCCAGCTCTTTGGAAGTGTGGGTGCTGGTGGGAGCTGTCTGGAGAGGATCGGGAGACAGCGGTGAGGAGCAGCACTTGGAGCACATCCCTCGCTCAGCCCTGCAGCCAGGGGGCAAGCCTGCAGCTGCAGAGGTGAGCGTAGCTGTCGTGGTAGCAGGGCAGCATGGATGCATCCCCTGAGCTCTAACGCAGGTGGGACATGCCTGCCTTTGGCTCTTGTTGAAGTTGTTGCACGCGTGGATGGCCCCTGGCTCGATGGCTGGCAGCTCTGCGTGCCTCCCCTGTGCCAGCTGGACCACCTGCTGTGCTGCAGCCAGCCCAGTTTGGGAGTTTGAACCTGGAGCTCCCAAGGCAGAGCCATGCCTTGGCTCCCCTCTGCGCGCACCGATAGGTAAGTCCTGCTGGTGGCCACATCGCTGGCCCAGAATAATTCCCCTTGGCTCGCAGGTGCCCTTTGCAAGAGGCTGGGGCGCAGCTCATGCACAGCCTTTGCCCTGCCGGCATCAGCGGTACCTGTGGGGATTTCCCCTGCCAGAGGCATGCCAGAGGTGAGGGGCAGAGCTGGGGCTTTGTAGGCACCCCAGGTCCTGGGGGCGAGTCTCTTGGAAGCAAATCCACTTCACCAAGGCACACGGTGCATATAGGACAGCCAACCTTCTTCCTACAAGTTGTAGCATCTTTGGCATCCTTCGGCATCCTTCGCTGCCTGAGTGAGTGGCTCTGCCCCGAGCTGCAGCAGCCCATGGCTGGGGACTACATGGGGGCGGGTTCTGAGAGGTCACTAAGTGGAGCTGGGGTTTTCACTCTATTTCTCTTCAAAGCACTCTCAACCTTTCCCCTTCTGTTCCTGCTGCAGACTGCATTCTCTCGTGGTTGTCCCTAACCCTCCCTGCATTAGGCCCTGCCGTCTGCACCCTTCTGCTGGAACAAACTTCCAAGGGACTGATGCTGATTTCACACCTTCCTCCTCCCTTTCCCTTCTCATTCTCTCTTGCATTAGTACGTCCTGAATGTGATCTCCAAGCTAGAAAGCAGCTAGAAGGTAATTCAGAGTGGTTCTTCATCGTGGGTAAAACCTGGAAGATGAGGGGCCTGTGCTCCATGCATAAGCTCGTTTGGACCCCATGGGCAAAAGGCAGAGGGCCACCCGGAGAGTCTGACAGCAGCACTCCTTGCACACCTCTGTCCGGGGCTGGAGGCTGCACAGCCCTTGTCCTCATCGCTTTGCAGAGCTCAAAATTTCCCCAGCAACAGCAGAGCCAGTTATTCTCAGGAAAGGTTATTCTGGGACCTTGGGGATGGATGCTGCCAGGTGCTGAGCACCCACATTGCCATGAGGTGGGTGTGCTTTTCCACACTCAGGATGTTCACACTTAAGATCCAACTTAAGACATTCAGCGTGCTCATCCTGAAAGCTGACAGGGACCCCCATGGGGAGAGGTGCCAGGCACGAAGCTGGCTATGCAATGCTGCTTGCTGTTTGCACCCATTCCCTTCCTTCGGGCCACAAGCCCTTGAGATTCAGGCTGACTCCGCGCATCCAAGAGCTAAGAGGTCCTGAGCCACAGCAGAGGCTGCTGCTGTGTCGTGACTGTGCCTCCCCAGCCTGGGCTCCCTGCACTGGCAGCCTCACAGGGGCACCTAGCTTCAGGGTACCTGCAGAGAGGGGCCATGGGAGTTTGGTACTAGGATCACTGGGAACGTGGGCTCAGAGGAGCCCCTGAGAGCTGGGAGAGACGCTCATCCCCCTACAGCACACAGAGTCTGCTGGTTTGGGGCTCCCTCACTCTTGCACCTTCTCTGCTCTCTTACCTTTGTCCCAA